CTAGGCCCCCAACCTGCCCATTCAAGCCCCCGGCTGGCACAGCGATATCTGTCCAGCACACTTCGTTGAGGTCAGCCGGAGCCTGGAATGCTGGGTGGAGCACTCCAGAGGGCAATTTAGCTGGCTGACATCTCCAGCGTTGTCACCTTTGGTGTTTCGTGCTCCACGGTCAGTCAACACATGTCCACACACGAAGCGGAGGTCGATAAGGACCTCTAAGTTCTGGAACACCGCAAGGCGCCCGATCCAGAAAACGTACCCCTAAGTCTTTCAAAAGACAGAGGAACGACTCAAGTCGGTAGACTGACCAGATTGTTTGAGAAGATATGGCAAACTGAGAGTGAGGCCAACATCCTGCCCAGCTTTTGAACGGCCTATGTGATGTATGTGGCAATCCTCGGGATATTAGTCTGCCATCAGCCGCGTTGAGAATATTGACTATTATAGCTCTCCAACGACCTTGCAAATGGCTCGCGAGGAGAAGGTCGGGTTTCGTTCAGGTCGTGGGTGCATTATCAAGTGATTACCCTCCACCAGACGCTTGTGAGCTAGCCTTCTGGTCCTTGAACAGAGCTGTACCCAGAATTATCTGTTGGAGAGGGACGTGCCTGAGTAAGTTATCGATATCTTATGAGCACTATGCGACAACACATCAGGTAGGGTGAAGCATTCAGCCACCCGTCTGCATTGTTCCAAACCAGCAATGGGGTAAGACAGGTTTGCTCGATTTCACCACTTTCTGCGACTTTACCATCAGTGGCATCCTTGAGACAGCTCTCGAAGAGGTACATGGTGGTGTTGTACGTCTACCACCCGAGGGACAGTTAATCAACCTTGAATGTGTGGACGATATCGTCTTACTGTGAGATGACGCAGGCTATCGGGAGGGGCTTGCCTACGCTCACCCTTGGTGGTGAGCGTTGGAATCAGTTGGAACGTTTGTATATCTGTGTAGTCATGAAAGTGCTGGTGTGGGTGTGAATGATGAAGTTTCCAACCACGTATCGAAAGCCAGAACAGCGTGAGTCAGTCTAAGCCACTTTTGGCGCTGTTGCGGCGTCATTCTGAACCCAAAGGTCCGGTTTACAACAATTCGGTGAGAGCAGTTCTGCTCTACGCCCGTGAGACCTGGCTTTTCCGAGCTAGGAACGTGCAACAACCATGTGTTCAATCATGGTTGTCTCTGTAAGATAGTTCGTATCCTATGGCAGTACCACGTGAGTACTTGTGAGGTATGACGGCTTGTATTTGGGAGTGATGGAGGTCGCCATTCTATAGGTGAAGTGATCTGGAAACACCGGCTTCGGCGACTTGGGCATGTGTTGCGCACGTCATCCCAAGGTCTTCCCTACCGTTTGTTGTTTGCCAGGCCTGGGACTAGATGAAAGAAGCGGAAGGGTTGCCAGTACATGAACTGGTAGGATAAGGGGTAGTTGTATCGAGTTTGCATTCCTTGGTGCACCACGGTTCTTTGGGTAGGATCCGAGAGATCATGCAACTCAGCGCCTTGAGACGCTATCAGATATGACTGAGAATTGAAACCAGTGGTGGTTATTCTATAGCTTCCTTCTATCTCCTGCTGAAAAGTAATGAATGTTTTGTTTAGAATGTATCTGACTGGACTGCCCCTCCAATCACGCTATTCTTATGGTTTTTCTTTCTTACTTGGCCGATTCACATCGTTTATGTCTTTATAACGTTGTCATACCATTTTGTGCGCGGCATTTCTTGAAGCTTCCGCTGTGCCACGTTTGTGTCCAAAAATTCTGGTAAGAAGAAGAAATTCAGTGAAATGCTTACCCATTAACCGACCATTACTTTATCTTATCTGGTACTCATCATCTTTTTGCTTCAACACACCCGCAATGTCTTCTGATTTCATGCTGGTGGCTATTCTCACACCACCTAACTGTATTCTCCAGGAAAGTCCCATGTAACCTTTGCCATTATTCTGCCATTCCGAAGAAAGGCTTTGAACCATTCCAGTAACTGATGGCTTCCCAACCAACTCAATCCACAAATTGGAGCTACCAACCCAAGGAAAGCATTTGTCTCCCCACAGCTAAAATCAGGAAGTCAGAATTTTCCTTGCCCACTACGGGGGAAAAATTGAACAACAAGAAAGCCGTAAGAACTCTCGGTTTCTTGTGCTGGCATTACTGACCGTGGAAGATGTTGGATGTACATGGACGCATTACGCTGCTACTGGTTACCAGCTACATTCCTCGTCATACTGAAGTAGTTACTGCCTTTTCACCAATCGATCAGTTAGTTGCACACTACAAGAATTTACTCTGCCTTGGTTACTGAGTATAAGTTTGGGGAAGCCAGTTTAAACAGCTTCATGCCGTCTCACCTGGAGCTCATGACTACCGTCTTCCTCTGCCTATCCGCAGATGTGCAGATTGAGCTAAGAACTCATCCACTGGCGCTCGGGCAAACTTTTTCACGGCCTAATACACAGGAGTGACGACTTCTCGCCCTATCCATGTCCTGTGGAATACATAGGACTAAGAGGGGACTTTGTCACAGTTTAAAACATATCGAACACCACTTGACATCCACCGTCACCTACTGAACCCTATCAGTAACACCAATTTTGCGGGACTAACAGAAACAGTCTAGGACATGGCAGATCAGGTATCAGACGCAGCTTCTGTTTTCTTAGTGCTGTTAAACACTGAAGTGTTCTTCATGTAGAAGTGATCCAGTTGATTCGTGTGAATCCATCTAAATGCCGGCCTAGTACTCACTTGAGATCTGGGTGGGATCTGCCCGGAACCAACTGACTTTTCAATTTCAACCGCCAAGTTTAGCTCCCTTTTTAATTGCACACACGTTATTATCTACAGTTTTTTACCCAAGGGTTCTGGATGTGGAAGCCGGTTTAGAGAAAGCTTCCATTCCAATCAGAGCTTTCGGCAACATCGTATGCTACACTGAGTCCATGAAACTTGCAAGAGTGGGCGTCTCTGAAAAAGTCAGCATGATGTGCAACATGTCCAGGACGAGAATTTCGTGTTAAGTCAAAAGAGTTCGATCATTCTGGGGGTGTGCAAGAACGGGAGTTTCTGAAGGGACTATCCTTGGCCCACTCCCTCTTTTACTACGCATCAGGACATCCCCGCCCAAATCCCCGGTCCGTCTTCCTACTTGACGACGGAATCAAGATACGAAGGATAGCACGTGGGGAAGATGATTCTAGGATACTCCAGGACTATCTGTGGTAGCTGAAGTCCTGGTTGGCTGCGAATATTTTGAGCTTTAACCTCGGGAAGTGATGAGTGATGTCTAAGTACGTGTGAAGCGATGATAACCAGCTGCACCCTAAGTAATTGCACAACCACCAGGGTGACCAGAAGGATTAAACTCCTCTGACACACTGGATGCTGGTGTCCACTAAGGGGAAATGGCAGCAAAGGCGAACGCCATAATGCAGCTTCTAAGAAGGTAGCTTGGAGCGCTTACCCGAGGATTATCCTCATCGCGTCTAAAAGGTACATCAGACGACACCTAGAGGTATTCAAAACGAAAGCTCCCCTCTACTAAACAGGGACGCGGGTACTCTTGAGGAGGTACGAAGAAGGGCGACAAGGTCGCTTGTGAGGCCAACAGGCGAAACGTATGTGGAACGCCTTAGGCAACTCAGGTTATTCACTTTGGGCCACCAAGGGAAAAGAGGCCGCCCAATAACGGCCTACAAGTTTCCTCACTAGGTAGACCACCTAATGAGATAAAATGATCGGTCAGAAACCAGCAGTCCTATGGGAACCCCACTAGCATACTTCACCAAAACGTACAAGTGACAGTGTTATGTAACCTCCTGCCAAACAGAAAGGGTTCCGTATAGAATGCTCTGCTGAGAGCACTACCCATGGGTAATAGGCTGACCCTTCAAACGACCGCCGGATAATTGAGTGAGCATAAAGATCTTACCATGAACATCTGCCAGTGGCAACCGATAGTATGCTCATCCATCCCTGTATTCCTCAACCCTAATACCTAAAATGAGACCTATCCCTTTTTTGTACGATTATAAAGGACACTAGTTTCCACATAATTAATTTTCAATCCTCTTTTCTCGTTTTACACCTGCGTTTCTAGTATTACTTTTTAAAGAATACTGAATAGTTACTTGGAGGTCCTTACAAAAGCGGGAGTCACTAAAGAATAGTTGATCTTATCAGTAGCTCTGTTCATTCCCAAAATAACCAGCGTTACATTTAGGAAAAGAAACCTCCGAATAAACAAACGCCACCCGCAAAGCAGCGAGCAGGCAAGATACTAAGTCTTTAGCGGCCACTGAATGATCATAACTGAACAAAGGAAACAAGCCTCAGGACCTAGGAGCGAGATCTCGGGAACTATAAGTTTTCTCCACTGGCACTGACGAGGTTGGATTTTGGATGAATGACCAGTTGAACCACTTTGAATCTTTTACAACGCCGCTATCATCGCGAACATGATTCAACTTTATACTTCCCTGTGGACACCTCCAGTTACCATCTCCTACTAGTAGCATTACTACCTCTATTCCCATAGCCCTTCTTATCATTTACTTGCCTCTTCTCTCCCCCTTGACTACGTGTTCTCAAACTATTTGTTAAAGTTCTCCTGATCATTCATCTCCCATGAATCATGTAGGTTTCTCTCCTTTCGTTCCGCTCCCTTAACCTTATCGATTGCTCCTTCTTCGTTGCGGTTCTTGTCCCTTGATTTCTCTGGATTCTTTTCGATCTTCTTTTTACAACCAGCCCAACCAACTGCCTGGTGGTAAGATATCTGAGGAACCCCTCTGAGCCACAGTCCGTGGAAAAACCCCAGAATCCCTACAAATTTAGTCAACACCCACCCACCCATCTGGCTAACCAAAGCTACAGCAGGCGAGTCGGTAGACCTGCTGAATGGGGACCTAGAACCGTCCCTCAGGACGTAGAAGCCAGCGCGAAGAAATCAGTTAGTTTGCACTAGCTCGTAAAAAGGTATTGGATATTAGAACAGTTCGAATTGTTTCGCGCCAAACTTGTAACTTTTGGAGGTGATGACAGCTACTAGTTCGGGTGAGAGCTACTACTGCCACGTCTGTGAGACCGAAGTTGTTCCAAATTTGCAGGTTACTTTAAAGCGTTAACATTCACTTATTTGCTATCCAGGATTATACTTGTTCAGCATGTCATTCTGGTTTCATTGAGGTCGTTAGTCCAGGGTAATTTGTATTATAATATATGATTTCTGAAATTATTTCAGGAGTGGCTTGTCATCGGACCCTTCTGAAGTATGTATCATATAATATAATCCTTATTTACTACAGTTAGATGCGCTTGGTGTCATTCGTCAGTTGTGGGGTGGTCCTGTAGCTGATAGTTTTGTGCGCTACCTTACGACATCCAGAGAGGACCACAGTTCGACAGACGATGAATCTTTGGAGCGAGAAAATTTGTCAAGGCGGTCAAGACGCTCGACAAGGAATTCAAACCAGAGGTCAACTCGTGAACGTGTGTATACCCGTGGCCGTCCAACGGTCACCACACGCATTCACCTGTCGAACGTGGATCAGCAATTTCTACTACCATTGTTGTCGACTTTTGGGCCAACAGATGGAGATATGCGTAATTTTGTCTTTAACAGAGGTAAGTGTGATTAACCTGATGGATTTTTACATCGTGGTCCACTTGCTGGGTTCTCCATGTACACAATATTTCTTAGGTCGTTTCGTAGCATACTGTTTTCTGCTTCAGACACATATCCATTCCTGTTTATCGTTAGTTTATGCAAAAGCCCAACCGCATCACTTTTAGCATCCATCCTGAAGAATATGTAGCTTCAGCATCAATGTAGCACCTGGAACTACTGCGTAACGATCTTTGTTGCCAAACCTCATAGTAGCACATCAGTGTGAAGAGTAGATTAGAAATAAAAAATAAGGAATATGAAGAGAGAAGCGGTGTAAAGGAAAAAGACCAGGGACGAAAAAATAATGAAATTTGGTATAATGATGAGGAAAGACTGCGTCGATGCATCTGCTTTGCCAAGGTCAATACTGAACTGTCACCTAGGATATGAAACCAGCGGGCTCAAGTGTCACGCAGGCCCCGTTCTGGAAGCCCACATTTCCTATACGGCTAAAACTAACTCAAATATCACTAACTGACGCCATGCTTTAGTATCGCCTCCCCCTAACTTAACCTTCGTCGACTAACGTTGCGCAACAAGGTAGACAGTGACTAGGCATGCGTAAAGGTTCGCAACCAACTCGCTTTTTTTCTCCCTAAGACTACACTCGACCTCTACGATACTGACGCGGTGATACTACTACCTATTGCGAAGGTAATGGTGGTTGAACTGAAACCTCACTCCACCTACCTCTAATAATCATATTTTACAGCGGTATGCTGAGGCAACTGCAGCTCACTACAATCACTGGAGCCATAAATGATGTAAATTGACGAAGACCGAGTAACTCTTGTCAATCGATTTAGAGATTTCGTTGGTTCCTGACCTACCAGTGCTGGTCCAACTGCTGGACACATTGGGTTGCAGTTTGTGAATGTGTGGGATGTTTTTCTCGCCACCCAAATGCAAATCGTTGCTCCAGGACTAATCTTCAATGGTTCCCTAACAGTAAGATTGGAATGGCTTAGCGCGTTGACCACTTCACTAACCTGGGGAGTTGGATGGACCGTGGTGGGTCAGTGGCCGACAAAATCTCCCCAGGAATAGAAAAGGCTCAGTAGTCTTTCGCCAACTGTGCTGCAGTTCGCTGTCTCCTACTATATTACTGTGGAACACGACCATTAAAAGTAGAAGAAATGAAAAGGCTCCTGGTGTTTGAACATCGTTGCCTTCGTAGCAAAGGCTGTATTCCGTGTTGTCGCCACGTGAGTCAGGTGCACAGTTTTAGTCAGGAAAGGTAAGACGGTTGACAAGGTTGTAAACCTTCATCGACTGATGTCGTTAGGACATGTGTTACATATGCCTAGTCACCGTCTGCCTCGTCACACAATGTTGGCCGGATCAGGCTCACGTTGGGAAAAGGCTCGGGTCGGCCGGACTAAAACGTGTCATCAATGTAAGAAGTCCCTGACTTTTTCGTTTGGCAGTGTGTGGCGGTGCATATTAGCCGGTTGGGGGCCACAAGACCGGACAAACCAGTTGTTGGAGACTTGGTGATATGGTTCAGAATGGATGTTCGTGGTACAAATGTATCCAGACTTTATCTTCACTTTAACCACTATACTGAATTCGGTACTTTCTCTCTCCTCTCTGTCATTGCTTTTGACCGATTCGTCATCATTTCCTTATCTTTCTCCGGGCTTTCTCTTTTGATGTGCTAGTATGTGTGGTAACTTGGAGCGTTATGCAGTAATACGTGATCCTCTGTTGATGGTGGTTACTTCTCAATGTAGCAACAGTTGGTAAGTAGGGGCCACGTTAGACCGTATAGCTAGCGGTACCCCACGATTATCAAAGTTGTTGAAATATGGACTACCACACGCCTGCTAGTTGAGTCCTCAAAATGTAATAATCTCGTCTTAGAATAACTTTCAGCCCGATGCACTTTATTAGCTAAAGTAGTTGCGTATTGTGATGAAGAAAGCTGTATTGATCTTGCTATCATGTTTGAGACTAAGTGTTGTACTAGAAGGCAGATAAAAATAGATTTAATATTTGGTTCTTTTGAGGTACATGATATTAAGTTCATTTGTGACTTTAGTTGTTTTTCATTTCCAGGAGCATAAATATTGATACTGGTCATTTTAGCTAGCTACACTTTCTCATGCCTCGTAGTATTCAGCCTAAATTCATCTTTAAAATTTACTCCAGTAAGATCATCTTAACGCGCTCACCATCTTCCTAACATTTACAAATTCATGTCTTTAGCAGTCTGCTTAGAGTCAGTAGATGTACCCACGAATATACTTCATTGAGTTCGCTAACTTGCCTATAATTGTGATTGCGTCTTGTTTTAACTCACTGCTACTGGTTTACTGTCAAAATCAACGTAAAACCTCGCACATGGGTGCATCGGCTAAAGTTGCAGCGCTTCACACAAAACAGACACAGTAAAGGAGTGATATCAAAGTAGATTAAGTAGTCCATCCATCCATCAGCATAGGACCAGGCATTGTTGCGTAACGGTGCGAGTTGCCACAGCTCATATCAGTACATCAAGTAAAAAGGCAGTCAAGTAGAAGATGAAGAAGCAAAGAAAACTCAGTCAAAGGAAATATGAACTACTGAAATAGAGAAAGGAAGAATGAGAAAATGGTGAGATTTGGTGTGGCGTCGTCAAGATGAGGATAATGTGTGTATACATCTGAGCCAATCACATCGGTTCCCAGCCATATCACCCAGAGTCAGTCTCCAACCACTGGTCCCTCTTGTCGCGCTGACCCCAACCGACTAGGCTACATCGCCCCACATGACTCAAACCAACAGTCAAACACTTCATACATTGGTGTCATGTTTAGTCTGGTGGCCCCTTTCTCGCTTTTTTATAGCCTGGACCTATTTCGGCTAACATTGTAAGACGAGGCGATCGGCGACTAGGTATACGTAACAAATGTCCCACTCATCCATCTCAGTCGAAGAAGGTTCACAACCGTGTCTACTGACTTACTTTTACTCCCTAAAACTCTACCCCTGACTTCTACGTTGCTCACATGGTGATACCACGAAATGCGGCTTATACTACGAAGAGAACGGTGATCAAACACCTGAAGCCTCATATCTTCCACCTTCAATGGCCATGTTTCACAGCTATACAGGTAGAACAGAGCGGTCTGCTATGCAGTGCACATGGCCGTTAATAGACAGATATCACGGCGGCGCCACATGTGTCAAAAGTTGGCAAAAGCCGACCGAAGGAGAAAAAATTGAAGGTAAAGGCTAGTGTGAATATTCAAGCTTTAGTTGTCTAGGGGTAAGTACGTCTTCGCCATTGTCACCGATCTTCAGCCATGTCAATAAGAGTTATCAACCACTGAGGATCCCAACCAAGGTAGTTAACACCTCCATACATGACTAAAACTAACAGCAAGAGACCCCACCAACTAATGCCACATCTTAGTCTGGTCACTGAACACTTCCAACCTAATTCAACCACCCTTAGCACGTCGAGGGAGGTGGTAGCTTGGTATCCGCAGTATATGTCTAATCCATCTCAAACGATAAAGGTTTACAGCCTTATGTATCGACTTACCTATCTTGCCTAGTACCCTTCACCTGACTTCAACATTACTCACACGCCCATTCTACAATATGCGAGCTACACTACAAAGGCACTCGCGACTGAACCCTGTAATCGCTGCATGTCTTCTACGGCCGTCTCACAGGTCTTTAACGTGACACGACGGACTCCAGTGCAGGATACTTGTCATTTGATAGATAGTTGGATGTCTCCCCAGTTGGTGCCACAGATGACGTAAGTTGGCAAATGCCAAACAGGCCCTCTGCATCCGAGCTCATATTTTGTCAGCAGCCAGCCCGTTCGGGCTGATTCAACTTCCCAAGTAAATGATGGGGTTGATGCATGCCACCACTTCACTTCCTAACACCAAACTGTGAATACTCGCGTCAGACCAGTTCTGGAGTATCATTTTACACTTGACAGGTATGAGCGAAACACATGCCGAAGATACTCAGATTTCTGTTCAATGCGTTAAGAAGACTGCATTCCTTCAGTGTTCAGGCTAGAAGATAGTATCGTCTGCATACTCCGAGTCAACCAGATAACCTCCACGAAGTAGGGGATTTCGTGTTAAGTCAGACGTAACTAACGTTGTCCATTGGTACGTCAGTGACAAAGTTAAACAGGGACGATGACAGTTGACATCCTGACGAACACCACTGATTGTCGTCAATTCACGTGATAACTCTCCATAAACCCTGACACGGCTGCGTGATTCCAAGTAGAGGGCTCTGATTAGCGTTATATACTTGCTCGATACTAAATTCAGTCAAACACTGCCACAACACGTCACGGTCGACTGAGTCAAATCCTGCCTTCAGGTCGAGAAATATGGCAAGTATCGGCTGCCCATAAGTATGCCTGGGTTCCAGAATCTGTCAGTGAGTAGAAATATGGTCGATGCACCCTTGTGCAGTCCTGAAACTTACCTGGCTTTCTCGAGTATGCTGTTCTTGAACTCCATTTATGGGTCCAATAACTATAGACCCTACGATCTTGGACACGATATTGGTCAAACTGATTCCCTCTGGTTGTCACAGGAAGACTTCTCTTCCTTCTTAAAGACTGGGGTAACCAGTGAAGTACATCAGCCTGACGGTACTACCTTCGATTCCCATACACTACCTAGTACCTCCATCACTGTAAGCAGCAATTTTCTACCACCATCCTTGAAAACTTTAGATGGGAAACTATCAGGTCGTGCTGTTTTGTATTGCTTTAAGTTCGGTATCGCTTTCTCAACTTAAAGGAGAGTTGGAGGACCGACATCTACATTCCTTTGAGGTTGAGGCTAAATGTTGAACAACCGAAGCATTGCTGAGGCCCAGTTAAACTGTGCTTTAAGGCGTTCTGCTGAAGGTTTTGTTGGACTGTCCTGGGAGGTTATCAACGTCCCATCGTTTTCGGTCACGGTTTTATCTACTGTCTTCTTCCTGGCACCCTTAATAAGCCTAAATAGTTGTTGGATGTTACCCACTCCTGGTGTCTTCTCCATCTCTCTCGCTCCTGCCACCCACCACTGCTCGCGAACACTGAGGCTTCTTAATCAATTTACTTTCACTCTTCACCATGGTCAGAGCCAACTGGAATCATTCTTCTTGCATCACTCAATTCGGATGACGTTTCAGAAATCCAATGACATTTGCTAACCTTTTGGTATAAGTTACCAACTGTCTTTGTCACTGTTTCTACAGCAAAGGGCTTTCATTCGCAAACCGTTGAACTTCAGTTCAGATTTCTGAAAGGAGTTGGCATATGTTACGTACCCGTGAGCTGAATGCCTCTTCAGTTAATTCCAGTTCTCAGTAAACTGGCTCACTTTAACAATATCTCTATGATCCTCATGCCACTTTAAAAGCAATCATTGCATCGTGGGTGAACTTGCATATGAAGGAACCTTCCCGCTTCTAGGTAGATTTATTTTATAATCAATTCCATTATCATACTTAAGCGAGCCTATGAACTCAACATGTTTAACTGAGTTCATAAAAAGTAAACTACTAGAGAAGGCCATTTCATTCCCTCCAGTAAGCTGTCATAACTAAGGACACCAATTAGATAGCTGTTCTTGGTTCTCAAATTCGAGAAGCCTTGTGTTCGCAACAGAAACGAACGGAAGGATTTCATTATCAAGAAAATCAGAGGGTGGTATAATAATTAAAAGTATATGGAGCCTCAGAAAAATCAGTAACTGAATATCACAGAATAAGAGCCGGATTTTCAACACCAACGTCAAGTCATTGCTTCTATATGGCTCAGAGACTTGGTGCGTTACGAAAGAGATTTCCAACAAACTACAGACATTCATCAACAACCGCCATCTACGCTGGCTCGTTACTGAAGATCAGATGGCCAGAATAATACGAATAAGCAACAAGGAACTCTGGAAACGAACCAATGAGCAAGAAGCTATCGCTCAACAAATATGCAGTGGAAGGAAGTGGAGATGGAATTGGTTGGGCATACACTGAGAAGGCCGACTGTGGACATCATGTGTCAGGCCAGGCACTCGAGTGGAACCCCAATGTTAAGCGACGAGTTGGGCATCTGAGCTGAGGGTGACATGGAGGAGATCGTGCAAGGAGGAAATGAGAGATTGTGGGCTGTCATGGAGCCAGGTTGAAAAGATTTCAGAGAACAGAACGCATTGGAGACGTGCTACTGAAGCCCTATGTTTCACTAGGAACCCAAGGGACAAATAATAATAATAATAGATAAATATCACAGAAAAAATCACCCAAATTTGTGTAAAATTGATTCACATAGCAACATAATGTGTGGTCAACTGCACACGTGCACTGCTGTTCACTAAAGTGTTTACTATTAGTATATTATTAATGTCCTCAAAACATGATGTAGTCTTCCTGAAAACTTCAGCCTCGATGAAGTTGGGCACGTGACCTGAAGGTGGTCAGACTGTCCACTGTCCATAGCTTAAAGAAACCGCTTTAAGAGAGTACTTATTTTCAAAGTAGTTAGATTGGGAAAAAATGAAGGTTACACTTGTTGCATGAATAATCATAAAAAGTAGTTTTTGTCAACAGAGAACAAAGAAAATAAAGTTTTGAGTAGTTCATACGAATCACTCCATTCAAACATCTACACACCATAAGGTTGGTATCATAGGGTGGAAAAAGAATAAAGGCTTCATTTGAACTAAAATTCTGGCAAGAAAAGTTGGGAGGAACCTTCAACTTTTGTGTTTTCTAGTTGTTAGATCCAGTAAATGAACGCTTTCAAAGATTTTATGAGCAATTCCTCTGGCACCTTGAGTGTATTTTAATGCATATTTTGTAGCTTCAGAAATAGACAACAATATCTATAAGGCTTTGGTTGACGAATTAGACCCTGAAGTGGATGCCATTATTAAAACAACTGGTCATTTTTAAGTTAGTAACCATGCAAGATATTTTCCTACTAAATTGATTTCCCGTTGCCTATTTCGCTTCACAAATTGATCGGCACTGAAAAATATTCAACTGGATACAGATGGTTTCGAATGGTCAGTGACGAGACGCAAGGGGCTTCTGCATCTAGAATCAGTGGATCAACAGGTCATGTGTCTGAGAAATCACTGTACAAAACATAGAATAAATAAAAAAATAGCAGGCTATCAATAAATTGGTCTGTAAGCTGACGTTAGGATCTTAATTGGAAGTCGTGGTTGTGTTTTTGATGTACTCTTATAACGTGGTGTGAATAAACTTTGTGGAGAGAACACTCTAAGCTTCAACAACTTTTAGGTCATATATATTGAAGGATGTAGGTTGAGTGGAGTCATGCTGTCTTGCATGGGTTGATTATTATCCGTTGAATTGATCTTAGCACAGCAGTTGTGAATGAGTTCTAAATAGTTCTTACTTTTATGAAGTGAAGGAGGATAGACCATATTCCTGAATTCTAGGTGGGGCTATATGAAGCAGTTAAACACTTGATAGGAACAAGTTTTCTTGAAGTGTCCGAAAACTCTTCAACAGGCTGCAAGTACCAGAATGGCACAAAGCTAATTTTCTTCATCCTAAGGGTAATGCTTATGATAATGAGGTATTAAAACCACCTTTTTACCTAAGATGCCTTCATTCCCTCTTGTTGAGTCTGAATATCCGATGAGGATCATGCTGTAGTCTTACCAACTTACCGTGTTAAGAAATAAAGCTATATCGAATGCAATCCACCTACAGCTGGTATTGGATTAATTCATCTGGAAATTGAGCCTGTTTCACCAGATAATCTCATTTCTCTGGATGTAGCGGAATCCACTTGGGTCTTAGAGAGGGGTGGTTACTTATATGCGATGATAGATAGTTAGTTAATAGTGAATCAATTGCGGTTGACTTCAATATATTAATCAGGCAGTTGTGATGGATACAGTTACTCTTTGCGAAATTCTGGATTTATTACCTCCCTTCTAAATCAATGATCAGTAATGCAAGGCCACCTAAGGAATAAAGGTAGCAGGTTGGGTGATACATGAATGTCCTTCCCTGAAATGACTCTGGTGGGACGGTGTGAAGAGAAGTGAGTTAGAATTGAGCAATTGCGTTAAATGTCATAGATTAGCTGCCGCCGTCACTCTTATCAGCTATTTTCTACCTCCATTCTGGAAAACTTCAGGTGGCAAATTGTCAGATTGGACTGCTTTGCATCATTTAAGGTTTGATATCACTTTCTTAACTCCAAGGAGAGTTGGAGGACCGACATCTATGTGCCGTTGAGGTTGAGGCTGTGTTGGGCAACTGAAGCGTTGTTGAGGGCCACTTAAACTTTACTTGAGAGTGTTCTGCCGAAGGTTCTGTTGGACTGTCCTGGGAGGTTATCAGCGCCCCATCCTTCTTGGTGAGGATTTCACTCACCATGGTTTTCTTGCCAGTATCCTTACTGCTACTGGAAAATATGCTCATACTGGTAAATGAAAATTCAGAAATTTACCAGGAAGGCCTTATTAGACAGAAACTCAGTGTTACTCGTTCATGACGAGATACTTACACAAATGCAAAAACTAGTTTTACACTTGCTACTTTTGACATTGTTAGGTTATCCGACGGTCTGTCGAAGAGCAAATGCGTAATTTAGTTGTTCACTGTTTACAATTGTGGCATAATCACTGAATGAGGAAAATATGGTCGAGGTTACAGGTATTCTATCATAGAATTTCATTGAACTATGATAATCCATTGTGGTTGTATAAATTAGGTGTATATTATGCGTCGACACCAACAGTAGTCATAATTTCGCCTAATGATTATTCTTTTGTAATCTTTCTTGTTTTTTTTCTCAAGGTGTATTTGATCAATTTATCACTGTATTAATGAATGAAATGCAAGTTGGTCCTCCACCAGCTCCTGAGTCAGCCATTGCAGATTTACCCGTGAATGTATTAAGTGAAGAGCAAGCATTGCGATTGGGCATTTGTTCTATATGCTTTGATGACTTCAAAGAAGCAGAATCAACAATCGTACTACCATGTACTCATATTTATCATCAAACATGTGTTACAACCTGGTTGAAACAGGTAGGTACCTAGTTTATAGATAATGGAATATTTTATAGTTTGGTTGTGGTTAACAGTGGAATTCAGAACGCGACCTTCTTCCTATCTGCAACTCGTCAACTGTATGTCCGTGCACCTTAGTCAGTGATGATGATGATGATGATGTTCCCTCTGGCATCCATCTCTTCAAACACCAAAGCGTTATCCGTATAGGACGAAACACGCGTGCTGGATTCCATCGCTAACGACCACCAAGTAAATTATCACATACTAAATAACTAGACAATTTCAACACATCTGCATACTAGTCCATCTGCTTACGCCACATGTGGCGCCACCGTGATATCCGATTGTCTATTAAGGATCGCGTGTGCGCGCGGCAGTTTGCTCTGTTCTACTGTATGACTGTGAAACATGGCCGTTGAAGGTGGAAGACATGAGAAGGCTGTCTTCAGGTGTTTGACCACCGTTTCCTTCGTAGCATAGGGTGTGTTTCGTTGTGCCACCAGGTGGGTAACGCGAAAGTCAAGTGTACAGTTTTAGGCAGGAGTGGTAAAACAGTTGATACGTTTGTGAACTTTCATCGATTGAGATGTATGGGTCATGTATTACATATGCCTAACTGCCGTCTGCCTCGTCACACAATGTTGGCCGAATTAGGTTCACGTTGGACAAAGGCTCTAGGCGCTCAGACAAGGCGTCAATGTATGAAGTGTTTGACTGTTGGTTTTGAGCCATGTGGGGTCCGCGGGACATGAGAAACTAGTGATTGGAGACTCCAGGTGATATGACTGAACCTATGTCATTGGTGCAGATGTACCCCCCCCCCACATCCTCATCTTAACGACGCTATACCGAATCTCACCATCTTCCCATTCTTCCTTTCTATCTTTTCGTATTTTATATTTCTTTGACTGAATTTTCTTTGCTTCTTCATCTTCCACTTGACTGCCTTTTTACTTGATGTAATGATATAAGGTTTGACAACATGGACCATTACACAGTAATGCCTGGTTCTATGTTGATTTGGATGGATCGAAATTATCATAGGATATCATAGCATTCGCATACTAGTCTTCCATCTGGCTACAGAGGTAGATAAATTCGATCCAATATAACAGTGAAACTACAAGTAACCACTGAATATTTTATCTAATTTTCCTGCGTTTCATCAGTGTAATAATTATTTTTGAAACAATTTAGATTTCAGTCAAGAAAATTTGTCATTTGCGACGATTTCACTTCAAAAGGTGTACAATCTTATGTAGACAACACAAAATCTCGAGTTAGTATTCATCATGGATTGACATCAGTTGAGGAAACATTAGAAACCTGAGAGCCACTGCACAGCTTATTCGTTGTAGTATGCAACTCCTCGACAGTTCGCTCCCATGACTGAATACCAACTTAAAGTCAATAAAACAATCCCACAAACCTCCAAATTAAGTTGACCTAGTGGTCATTGGTGACTAGCTTCGAGAGGTGATTCCGTAAGTTCCTATGAAAAGTCGTGAGCACTGACGTGCGCAGTACATGTCCAAGGCATCTCAGCCCATGAAGGTTCCTCAACCTCATCAATCGACTTGCCTAATACCTTCACCTGACTTCAACATTGCTCACACGTTCATTCCATCAAAACGCGAGGAATGCTATGAAGACACCTGTGATCAAAACCCTTTAATCTCTTTTTGTCTTCTACTTTCAACGACCATGTCTCACAGGCGTATAACGAGAGAGAGAGAAAGGATTGCAGTGGTGTATACTCGTCCTTTGAAATATAGTCGGATGTCTCCCCAGTTGGCGTCACAGATGACACGTAAGTTGACAAATGCTAGACGGGGGTAATACAAAGGAAGCGCGAACGTGCACTATTTCGTAATAACTTCTGCCCCAAACCTCATATAGTAAATAGTTACTATATGAGGTTTGAAGCAAAAATGTTATACGAAATAGCGCGCGTTCGCGCTTCCTTTGTATTACCCCCGTCTAGCATTTGTCAACTTACGTGTCATCTGTGACGCCAACTAGGGAGACATCCGACTATATTTCAAAGGACGAGTATACACCACTGCAATCCTTTCTCTCTCTCTCGTTATACGCCTGTGAGACATGGTCGTTGAAAGTAGAAGACAAAAAGAGATTAAAGGGTTTTGATCACAGGTGTCTTCATAGCATTCCTCGCGTTTTGATGGAATGAACGTGTGAGCAGTGTTGAAGTCAGGTGAAGAGTATTAGGCAAGTCGATTGATGAGGTTGAGGAACCTTCATGGGCTGAGATGCCTTGGACATGTACTGCGCACGCCAGGTCACCACCTTCGTCGACGTACCATGCTACCGGAAACTAGATTAGGTTGGAAGAGTATTCAGGGTGACCAGATGAAGACATGAGAACAGTCCATGTAGTCTCCTACTTTTAATCACACTACTTTCGACATCTGATTTTTATAGTTTTGTCATCCACCTCATATTCTTTGTTTTTATTGGTAGTAAAGTTTTCCATTCCTATTCCACATATGTTGCATATTGATTCAGTGAACAAAGATTCAGTAATCAATCTCCTTATCAATTTAACTGCATTGAGTACAGGGTTTTTTATCTCACCCAACGTACTGTGTGTGGTTATGTATTAATGCATACATTGCAACAGGCAAGTTTTTTTTCTAGATTATTGATCTCATCGGGGGTCTGTCATTCTACATTTGCCTAAATTCCTATGTTCCTCTAATCTTTGACAAGTTACTTTTCATTTGGTAAATAACTTTGAACAAGAAGATGATTATTTGGTTGGTTGTGGCTAGCAGAAGAATCCAGGACGCACGTTTCTTCCTATTTAGGACTTGTCAGCTGGATGTACCTGCACCCCAGTGATATTGTTCCCACTGTGACTCAAACCTCGTACGCATCGCTTCAAACACCAAGGTCGAACAATACGATCCAACAAAACAAACAACAGAGAATAAGTATGTCAATAAATAGTAATAACTACTACCCGTTGTACAAGAAGTGGCTATCGTCCCTCTGTGGCACAATGGATGATGCCTCGATGATTGAAGCGGTGGTACAAGATTCGAGTCCCGGTGAGAACAATATCACTGGGGTGCAGGCACATCCAGCTGACGAGTCCCAAATAGGACGAAACGCGCGTCTTGGATTCTTCTGCTAGCCACAACCAACCAAATTATCATAATTAAAATCCAGGCAATATCGAGGCATCCGCATAGGAGCCCATATACCAATAGAGGTTGAACAATTCGATCCCACAAAAAAATAACAAGTATATCAACAAATAGTAAGAAGATAATTATTGAGAGTAAATAACCAGTATTGATCAGGTGTTCTGTTATCGCAGTCCTCACCAGACAGCTTAATGAGTGAAATCGCTGAAAAGAGTCACCGAACCATTTGTTTTCATTTCCTTATATATCTTTATTGAGATTTTTCGCTAATTCGCTTATTTACTCATAGTTGACAATCAAATTACGTTAGAACTATGCTGCTGCCCCTTCCCTCGCCCCCTCGCATACCAGATGTGACTTAGCGTATTGCCTAGTCCTGTACCAGGTCGCTGATTTGCGTACCTATTATTGTACTATAACTTGATAAGCAAATATTCCAGGTTTAGGCAGAGGATGAGAAGTAATCTGACGAAATTTATGTTATTTGAGATGATTTGTAACGAAAAATGTTATGGGTGTGTGTGTGTCTGAACCTTATGGTATACGACGTACACTATACCATTTCTTCATGCCCTATCACTTCATCCCGACTGAACTAGGTCATGTGTGTCATTTGTTCACCAACACTTTAGGTTTTATCTGTAATGTAGTCCATAACTTTTGTACAAGGTGAACTAGTTAACTCCCTCTTTTAAAATATTAGTTTTTGGCGAAAGTTAATCCCATTAACTTATACTTTGTACACTAGCTTATGATATGGGGTGGATTTTCTTGTCAATATTTCCCTACTATTATAACTTATTTCAAATGATCACTTTCTGTACAATATAATTTTAACTCAATCAACATAATATATGGATATGCTCTTGTGTAGCACATCTATTGGCATCGATGAAAATCTCCACTCAAGAATTCATGGATTGCCATGCAAACAAATACAAAAATGACACGGTATCTCATTTGTTGATAAGAGAATAGGGTGGATTTGTGCTGCACACCTTGAATGATTAAAAGCAATTTGATTCCATTTCAGTCTGTTTATTAGAAATATCTCACGGTGAGGGAACAGTAGCATTTACTGGATAACGTTTCGGACACAATTTACTGTCAATGTTCATATCAGGTAACTAACTCAACAACTTTGAGACAGAATTTATATAGTCCTAATTTTCTCTCTTTCTCTGTGATGACAAGGATAGTAGAATTCTCCATATATCTGGGACAGATGCAGAATCATTTCTATTACTGCGTGTATTTGGTGTTGATTCGATAAACAAAGATCCAGTCGGTCATCAATCTCTCCCTCCCTCCACCCAACGAAGTTAGTTTTCAACACTGTCGCCCAATCCCACCCTACTGTGTGATTGTGTGTCATCTCATGCAGAGTTATACCTGAGCTTTTCTCTACATTTCTTACCTTATTAGGATCTACTAATCTTGATTTAGTTACGTTTTTGTGCTCTGTTATTCTAATCAACCTTGGTCGACTGCTTCGGCCTATGTACTTGACCTCGCATTCATTGCAAGGGATCTGGTAAACCAGATTATTTTGCTGAATTGCATCGATAAGATCTTTTAACCTACAAAACTTGTTTCTAAGCAAGTTTGTTGGTTTAAGTGCCAGCCGCTTTAATCCCAGCCAGGCTTATTGAGAATTCTTCGTAATGCTTCTGAGGTGCCTTCTTTGCATGGTAATACAGTAGATGCTTTGAATTCTCTTTCAACCCTGACAACATTGTTGCCATTAAGTAGTAGAGTTATTATTAATAACACCTGTGTTACTACTACTACTGCAAATATTTTTCTTTCGATTTCTTATGAATTTATTCACAAATTTTATTATATTATTATATATTAGTCCCTTAGGTTCCTAGTGGAACATAGGGCTTCAGTAGCACGTCCCTAGTGTACTCTGTTCTCTGAAATCTTTTCAACCTGGCTCCACGACAGCCCACAACCTCTCATTTCCTCCTTGCACGATCTCCTCCATGTCACCCTAACCTCGGATGCCCAACTCGTCTCTTCCCATCGGGGTTCCACTCGAGTGCCTGGCCTGACGCGTGATGTCCACAGTCGGCCTTCTCAGTGTATGCCCAACCAATTCCATCTCCACTTCCTTCCACTGCATATTTGTTGAGCGATAGCTTCTTGCCTCATTGGTTCGTTTCCAGAGTTCCTTGTTGCTTATTCGTATTATTCTAGCCATCTGATCTTCAGTAACGAGCCAGCGTAGATGGCAGTTGTTGATGAATGTCTGTAGTTTGTTGGAAATCCGTTTCGTAACGCACCAAGTCTCTGAGCCATACAGAAGCACTGACTTGACTGATATTAGTGTTGAAAATCCGGATCTTCTTCCACATGCTGAGTGCTGAAGATCTCCACACTGGTTCAGGCTAATGAACTCCTGTCTTGCTTTTCCGATTCTGACTTTGACATCCTCGTCTGTGCCGCGGCCACCTGTAGTTGAAACAGTGCTTCCTACATAGGTGAAGGAGATTACTTCCTTCAAGTTTCTCCTGTTGATGGTGATTGGAGTTTGTTGTTGGTGTTGGTGGTGGTGCGGTATCTTTATCACCTCTGTCTTCTCTATATTGACTTGAAGTCCCGTCTTCGCTGCCTCGCCTCTTCTGTCAACTTGTTAGTTTTCGCCTATAGATCTTCAAGTTTGTGTGGCACTAGACACAAATCATCGGTGAAATCCACATCTTCTAAGTTCTTTTCAGCATTCCAGCCGCCTATCCCCCTCTTCTCACAGCTCCCCACTGTTTGCTGCATGATCCAGTCCAGTCGACCACAATCAGGAATATCATGGGGGATAGTAGGCAACCTTGTTTCACTCCTGTCTTCACTTCAAGTGCAAAGGCATCACTGAGCTTCCCATTGTGAATTACTTGGCTGGTATGTGGCGTCTTCATAAAGTTGTTGAATGAGGCGGATAAAGGTTTGCTGTACTCCGTAGTAATGAAGCAGTTTCCAAATTACCTGTCGGTCGACGCTGTCAAAGGCCTTCTCATAGTCGATAAAGTTGAGGTAGAGAGTTGACTGCCGTTCTGTGCTCTGTTCAATGATGATGCGTGGCGTAGCGTTGCAATTTGGTCTGCACATGATTTGTACTTCCTGAAGCCTTCCTGCTTGTTCCAGTGGTAGTTTTGAATCCAGTGCATCCTTTAGCCTCTCCAAGATGATGCGGCTTAATATTTTGCTTGGTTGGTAATTATTGAGACGTAGGGTATTCTTGATGTGTCGAATCCCTTATCGCAGATTTTCTGGTCTACTAGTAAACTTTTCCACCCTATTACTTAGGCATTTAACTAAGCCTACTTCGAAACTGAAACGGGGAAGGAGGATTTGAAGTCTAAGTATCGATTCGAATAAGAAGGTTTCGCATAGACACTAGTCTCTAGACTTCCGTCTTGTGTTCATTTAATCTTGCAATCCAACAACATTGCTATCTCACCTTCTTCGCTTTCTAAGTCACAGGTTAGTCGGTTTGCATTCTCTACTGAATTTATATGTGTCAAGAACCTATTGATATGTTCCGATTTCAGTACTGTAAACGTATCATCTACATATCGGAACCTTGGCTTTGGAGTAGGACTAAATGTTTAAAGGGCCACCTGTTTCCAACTATGCATAAACATGTCTGTCTCGAAATTGTGGAGTTAGTTACCTGATATGACTGTGGACAATAAATTGTGTCCGGAACGTTGTTATCCAGTGAATGCTACTGTTTCACTGTATGATATTTCTAATAAACAGACTGAAATAGAATTACAATCGACCACACTGCCCAAGTTTTACTCTTATATTAAAGCATTTAGTATTTTGAAATAATAAAGAACATTTGTAGCTTAGGTGACTGGTCTTGGTTGTATTGTGTTCTCCGAGCTGGGTTATTTAATCGTGGTTGGAGGACTCTAGGTGATATCGCTCAGGACCGATGTCAGTGGTGCAAATATATGCATATATTATCCTCGTCTTGACGACGCTATACCGAATCTCACCATTTTCTGATTCTTCGTTTTTTTCTTTTCGTACTTTGTATTTCTCTAACTAGAACAAGTCGTATATCAGAAAGGAGGAGCATTTCTTTTCAACGACTTCATTATGAAGCTGTACAATCATTGTATTTATACTCGGTAAAGTGACAGATAGTGGCACTAAAAAGAGACTTGTTCAGTCAATATGCAAAATATACAGTCGGTGTAGGTGGTGGTATTTGTTCGAGTGGAAGAGATAGACAATGGGTCATTGAATAAGGAGGAACGAACTGATAACAAGTGGGTGAGATAAGCGACAAGTGTTGTCAAAGAATTGTCAAATGGTAATAATTAAGCTGAAACGTGTAAAATAGGTCAATGAAATGAAAATTGGTGATAATGATGAGGATAATAGAAGAGAAGTATACCAAAGTGAAGTGAACTGAAATTGACAATATCAACAAACTGAATTGTTAAGGCTAAGATAGAGAAAGTGGTTTGACGAAACGTTTTTGAATGCAAAGTTTCGGTTTTCGTTCATGTATAGCTAATGCTTCAACACTTATCTCACCATTTGTTATTAATTTGTTCCTTTTTCAATGACCCATTTTCTATCTCTTCCACTCGAACAAATACTACCAACTACACCGATTGTATATTTTGCATATTGACTGAACAAGTCTCTTTTTAGTGCCATTATCTGTCACTTTACCGAGTATAAATACAATGACTGTACAGCTTGATAATGAAGTCATTGGAAAGAAATGCTACTTCTTTGCTGACACATGCCTTGTTCTTTATGTTTCTTTGGACTGCATTCTCTTATCTTCATCTTGAGCCTCACTGCCTTTTTACTTGATGTACTGATATGAGATGTGGCAACTCGAACCGTTACGCAGTAATGCCTGGTCCTAGGTTGATCTAGATAGATGTTGAATCGTGACGCTTTCATGGTCTTGCTAGACGACACCATCAGCACTAATGTCAGTATGAAGTGAGCTGTCAATATCTCTCCATGAGTGATTCATTAGCTTCCCCGACGAACTGGTTTGTGATTGGTTGTTTACTTCGATTGTTGTGTCATTGACTAACTGCATAGATATTCCTGTTGACTGTCCCTCTGACTTTTTTGTCGTTCATCATGTTCCTTATTGGTTGATAGATTAGGTCTATGTCCATACATCTATTGATCGCTGACTGACGTGACTGCCATACTTCTAGGAATTCTGCTGATATTCTTTGTGTTTCCTCTCTCCATCAAAAATTTTTACATTGTCATAATTCAATTCATGTCCATAGTTGTTATCCATGTACATTGAAATGAGAGATGAAATGTCATGTGTGACGTTTAATAGCCAATTGGTGTTCATGTAGACGAAGGTGAAGACGGTGACCACTCTCTGTCCAATGTAGTGTTGACTGCAGTTATTCCAGTCGGTTATTGTATCCTTTGGTCTGCATTATTAGGGCGATGATGATGTCGTTTAGAAAGACGATGAAAGTTCCTAGATTAAACAACCCAGCTTAGAGAACACAATACAACCAGTGTTTGAATGCTGTTTGTTTCTTGCAATATTATTAACCGCACATTTCTGCCATTTCACAAGACTTATGGAGAAAGTGGATCTATCTACATTCGAGTGAGTGATGCATAAAACACATTGTGGATTCAGCTGCTAAAAAAAAATAGTAATATGAAAGTGAAAATCATGCTCTAGCATAAAGTTAGTGATACTATATGACTGGCGAAATTTTGACAGCTGGAGCGCAGGGGGTTCGAACCCCTCCGACCCATAGGTTAAAAGACGACTGTCAGGATCCATGAACCAATAGAAAATTAGAATATTCAGGTTCCTCATAGAAGTAAACTGTTATGTTGTGGAAGTGTTCATTTCTTGAAATTAAATCCTAATAGGCATTTGTTTTATTTACCTGTTGTTGTTGTTGTTGTTCTTATTTAGCATGGAACTTGTCCAGTTTGTCGGAAGGATTTAGCTGGACGTGATACTTCACGCTTTGAAGATCCAGCATCAAATGTACCACAGGATAATGGTTCAAGTTCTTCCAACTCCTAGTGTACAATTTTATTCTTCTATTGTCTTCTTATCTCTTTAAGCTTGTTCATTTTCATAAACATGCGCATGTGTGTGTGTGTATGATGAAATAATTCTTTCTGTAGCATTCAGCTAATATGTTCTTTCATATATTGCGAAGGTAAGTCAATTGTCTCTTCGTCTACAATCCAACTCTTAGCATATTGCTGTACTGTTCATCTTTTCTCTCTCTCTCTCTCTCTCCCTGTGTATCTTCTCTGGTATGGTTGTGTGCAGATGACGGCGTCGTCAGTCTACTGTTAATTTGTGTTTTCAATTCATCAATATTCAACTTTTTTTTTTTACTTGAGATTTTGTTTTCTTCTGGCTATCAAGATTATTCACATCTATCCCTGCTACTTTATTGAATAAATGAACAAATGACTGGATTAACACTGGTTTCATGATGTGTTCACTTCCTTCCTTTCAATAACTCTGTTATCGACAATATATATATATATATATATATATATATATATATATATATATAAATGGGTTGACAATAGTGGAGAGAAATCGCCTTACTTGATGCAGACAAGAGTGTTCCTCGCTTATTTCTCTACTTGTACTGTAGTCATGGGACTCAAGAAAATAAAATATTGATAAAATACTCTCTTAGAGAGCTCTTTTTCTCTATTTCACTCACTTTGTTAGAATCCTATGCATGTTATACTGTATGATGTGAATAAGGTTGAATGTATCTAGAGGTGACTTAAAACTAATTTTATCATGTTCTACTAATTAGATGATTGCATAGGCGTAGTGTAAAGTTTTTATCGCTTTGGTTAGCTTCATTTATAATACATCGTGTTTATTGACGTAGCATTTGAACTGTATAATACAGGCAACTGACTCTTGGTATATGTGTTTCTTGACGTGAAGGCAGGATTTAACTCAGCCGACTATGATATGTTATGTCAGTGTCTGACTGTGAAGCGAGTATCGAGCAAGTATATAACGCTAATCGCAACTCTTTACTAGGAATCACGCAGCCATGTCAGGGCTTACGGAGAGTTGTCATGTGAATTGACGGCAACTGGTAGTGATGCTTGTCAGGGATGTCTACTGTCATCGTCTCTATTTAACTTTTTTGCCAACGTACGAATGGACAAAACTGGGTCGAAATGTCCGACCTCTGTTGTTGGCGAATGGACTTCTACGTTAAGGACTGGTTACTGCCTGAATATTCATTACATTGTAGCCTATTCGACAGCTAGCAATGGAATCCAGTTTGTCAAGAGGTTCATGCTATTTGGGACTACAATAGAGTTATATATGAAATGGTGAAGAGTATTTGTAGGTCAGGTGGATGGTCTTGGGTGTATTGTGTTCTCTAAGCTGGGTTGTTTAATCTAGGAGCTTTCATCGTCTTTCTAAACGACATCATCATCGGCCCTAATAATGCAGACCAAAGGATGCGATAACCAACTGGAATAACTGCAGTCAACACTACATTGGACAGAGAGTGGTCGCCGTCTTCACCTTCGTCTACATGAACACCAATTGGCTATTAAACGTCACACATGACATTTCATCTCTCATTTCAATGTACATGGATAACAACTATGGACATGAATTGAATTATGACAATGTAAAAATTTTTGATGGAGAGAGGAAACACAAAGAATATCAGCAGAATTCCTAGAAGTATGGCAGTCACGTCAGTCAGCGATCAATAGATGTATGGACATAGACCTAATCTATCAACCAATAAGGAACATGATGAACGACAAAAAAGTCAGAGGGACAGTCAACAGGAATATCTATGCAGTAGTCAATGACACAACAATCGAAGTAAACAACCAATCACAAACCAGTGTGTCGGGGTAAGCTACTAAGTCACTCACAACTTGCTTCATACTGAAGTTGATGCTGATGATGTCCAGCAAGACAATGAAAGCCCCACGAGTAAACCCAGCTCAGAGAACACAATACAACTAAGAGAGTTGTATTTTTTCCCTGCAATAAATTGTATCACAGATGTGTGTGATTCTATCGTTTCTCGTTTACTTTACGAAGCTTTCCCGTTTTTTATCTGTTCCAAACATATATGTAATATTAATGTCTTTGTTGCTTTGTGGAAAAATGGTTTGATGAGCATGTAATATCACACCCGGAGGTTGCTAGTTCGAATCCCATCGCGACCAAAATTTTTATCGCACCTCTAAATCATCCTCCATTCATTCTTTTTATATTATTTTCGCCTTCGGGTTCCTAGTGGAACATAGGGCTTCAGTAACACGCCTCCATTGCACTGTGTTCTCTGCAGTCTTTTGTACATGGCTTCATAACTGCCCACAAGCTTCCATTTCTTCCTCACATGATCTCCCCGATGTCACCCTCGGCTGGGACGCCCAACTCGTCGTTTCATTTTGGGTTTCACTGGAGCGCCTGGTGCGTGATTTCTCCAACCGGCCGGGTTCAACCCATCTCATTTTCTCCCGCATATTTGTTGGGTAATAGGTTCTTGCTTTGTTAGTTCGTTCCCAGAGTTCCTTGTTGCTTATCCTTTCTGGCCATCTTATCTTCAGTATCGAGCCATCGTGGGCAGCTGTTGATGAGTGCGTGTCGTTTTTTGGAAGTGCTTTTCGTGACACGCCAAATTTCAGAACCATTAAGCAGCACTGACTTGACTGAATTGGTGTGCTGAGTGCAGTAGATGGTCACACTGATTTCAGATTGGTGAAAGCCTGTCTTGCTTTTCGGATCCTGGCTTTTGACATCCTCGTCTGTACCGCCGCCTGTGGTTGAAACGATGCTGCCCTGGTAGGTGCAGGTGAAAGAGACAACTTCCTTTAGGTTTCTCTGGTTAATGGTGATTTGGGCTTGTTGTTGTTAGTTTGGTATCTTCATCACCTCTGTTTTCTCTGCGTTCAATTGAAGTTCCGTTTTCGCTGCCTCGTCTCTTCTGTCAACTTGTTAGTTTTCACCTGTAGATCTTTGACTTTGTGGGCCTATACAATAGACATAAATCATCATTGGCGAAATGCAAATCTTCTAGGGTCTGTTCATCGGTCCAGTGTATGCCCATCTTTTCTCTCCTCACTATTTGCTTCATGATCCAGTCCACCTCAATCAGGAAGATTATGGATGATTGTAGGCAGCAGCCTTGTCTTACTCCTGTCTTCACTTCATCACCTAATATTAATGCCTAATTATTCTACTTCCCTACTGTACAGATTCCTTCATCTTAAAGCCATTGGGTACTAATTTCTCTTAGTTTATATTTTGTTCCCTTTCAAATATGTACCATTTCATTTCAACTGGTGTTGCACAATTTGTCTATTTTTGTTTATCGAATTCTGCAGATACATAGACATAGATCTACAATCTACTTCTTCAATGTAATCACATACATGACCTCCATTTATGTCAATAATCTTCACACAAAGTTCATAATCGGAATTAGACAGTATTGAGTTCTGAGCTTCACTCACCAACATGATCATATTACTTATATTTGTTCTTAAGTAATACATAAATGTATAAAGGAGCGCATTTTAGCAGTAAATTTCAGGTTCCATTCCTTATGATCATTCAGTTCCTCGAGAAGTCGAAAGAAATTTGTGGTAAGACGACATAAGGTGTATTACAACGTCAGATATGTCCAAAACGAGACGGTTTACAGTGTATATTTGAGATGACCGTGGCTTCTAGAAGGTCGTCTCCTAATGTATTTTTACTTCTTGAACGAATCTGATATTTTCACTTTGAAGTAGCACGGCTAGTTGTAAGAAGAAAACTTCAGGGATTCAACACTTCTGAGGATGCGAGTAATCTTATTGTATTTGATATTCATATATCTTCTGCAAACATGTATTGGTCTTAAATCGTCAAACATTTGGATTTCTATATTATCACTCAGTTACGCGATTACTGAAGAAAACTAATTGATTCGAAATGTCAACCGCTTGGGAGCAATATTGAGATCAGGTGTAGTATTCTAAGCAAGACGGGCAAGTCGATTGATGGGTTCATGAACCTTCATCGGTTGAGATGGTTTAGATATGTACTGCTCATGTCGAGTTGCCACTTCCCTCGACTCGCCACACTAGGGGTGGCTGGATTACTTTGAAAGAGTGTTCAGAGTGACCAGACCAAGATGTGACCACCGGTCTATTGAATTTCTAACTGTTAGTCTGAGTCTTGTTAGTAGTTGCACATGTGACGCACATTTAGCAGAAGCTAAACGGGCCTTATATATATATATATATATATATATATATATATATATATATATATATATATATGCGGGCTAAGATTTCGTCAGCAACTAACCCTTTCGGGCTAATGCAACTTCCTAAGTAAGTGAAATTGTCAACACGTCTCACCACTTCATTCCCTATCATTTAGGTGGCGTATTTACAGCAGACCCCTCCCGGAGCATCGTCTTACACACTGTGTCAGCGTCTTCACTTATCAGGACAAATCAATCAGACGACCATAAGGGAGTAGGTCAACCTTTGTGAAGTCAGACGTACCTAACTTTGTGTCTATTTGTGTATCTATAACGATGTCAAGTGGGAACTGGTGATAGGAAGCATCCCGGGAGATACCACTAATTGTCATCAATCTTGATCACAGAATCTTTGTTCATCGAATCAACACACCTATCCAATAGACCAGGAATGATTCATTACATACTGAAGATATTTGGAAAATCTTAGTGTCATCATGATGAAAGAATGTAAAACTTTTGGAGTATATAAGTGAAGTTTGAAAATCATATGATTACTTGGATATGAATATGAGCAGTAAATTCTGCTGGAAGCATCGTTATCCAGTGAATTATTCTGTCTTTGTATGCTATTCCATAGAAATGATTTTATATTCATTTATGCTGTACCACAGTACTCAAGTCTTTCTCGTACATTGATTAAGTTTGACAAGAGCAAGTGAATTAATTAGTAACCGCAAATGAAGGTGGTCTGAAGCGGTAGTTTATCCTCTACACACCCTCGAATCAGTTGATAACTACAGAAAGCAATGCAAAGCTGAGTGAAAAAGAAAATCTTCTTCAGTATTTCTGACAATGTATCTTTATTCAATTCAATATTCATAAAGTGTCTTCTTTGTAATCATGCGGTGCTTTTCCTATAGATTCTTGGGCTTCATTTTCCTCTCAATGTGTCTTGAATGAGAACTAACCATTCTCGATGAACACTCTTTGAAGTATTTCCAGCTGCTCATCCGTACAGATACTTCGTCTGCATAGTAAGTGAATTAGATTTCTTTTCTTGACAAAGGGGACCCAACTTTGAGAATTAGTTTGTTGACCATTCAAAGCTTGTTTTCTGTAAATGGATCTCCTTGAGTGACATTCATGCCTTCTTATCTCTTCTCAGAAAGTTTCCAGTTTTCATGGTCAATTTGATTGAATTATGACATTCATTTCTTCGAGGTTATTATCCTACTTACAGATAATGAACGTGTCATTCATAAATCTCTTATATAGATGAAACTGATGTAACAATTATT